TATCCAGTTATTTATTTTTTTTTAGAAGAAATCTTTAAGATGGGTCATAATTCATGTTGTCTACACTACAGTCACATGTCTACATGTTGACTAGAGAAATCAAAGGTTTGCTGATTGTATCTAGATAGATAAACTTTATCCTTTAACATATCCTCCTTTCATTCAGTTCTTTTCTCTCTCTTCTGCTTATCTACCCCTTTTCTTGTTTCCCTTTCCTAAACAGATATCCCCTTCTCACTTCTCAGTTCATTGCTTTTTTCTTCCTGCTTCCTTTCCTTTCAGTGTTTTATAGTCCCTTTCGCTCTTCTCTGCTGTATGCATCCCTTTCATACAAGTCAGTTTAGTTTATGCAACAAACTTACCATGTGTCATAATATAAGATAATATAAGGAACATCCAGGCAGCTACATTATGAGAGAAAATGAGTTTAGGGGCTTCCATTAGGTAGTTCAAATTGATTGGACCAAGCCAAAACTTGAATAATATTTTTGAAAATTGGGTTCTCTGTTACTTCTATCATTCCTGGTTCAATTAATCAATATCACTACAACAAATAGATTTTTTAAACTGCTTTATAATTTGTTCTTCCTGACAAAAATTGATTGATTTACAAAATCTATACTGGATTTTTTAAAATCCCAAATACAGGCTATTATACTCCCTGGCTTTTTTGTACTGAGGATTTTTTGATAATAGAGATGACATATATTAGTTGGATTTAGATACATAATTAATTGTAGAAACATTAAGTTCTGAGAATTATAAAAGCCTGGAAATGTTTGGAGAAAGTTACAATTCTGAGCATCAGAACTGCAACACCTCAGTGTTTAAAGTGGGAATGATGTTATCGCTGCAGTCATACAAAAACCGTATCTCAGTACTTTGAAGTATTCAGTCTGGGATGAGACTAAATGTTCAGTCTGAGTTCTCCAGTTACCATGAGTAATTCATTTTGCGCTACCCTTTTGTTCTTTAAACTTGGCTATACCTCCTAGGTTAACTGTGAGCGATGCTGCCCGTAAGTATGCAATATCATCATGCCACTGCTGGTGGCACCAGGAAACCACTAATAAGAGATGAGATTTGAAAGTTTCTGGCTATATTATAATAAAATCACATATAATAACAAATGGCCGTAGGAATTCAACGATAGAAAGAACATTGAGGAATAAATCGCTACACAAGATAAAGAAGTTGCAAAGCTTTTGTTCATTATTAGTGAGGGGCTTTTTCACAGAGGTAGTCTGCAGAAATAAATGAGCTTATTATGGAACTTACTATGTGAAAACTTAGGCAAGAAATGTAGAGGGTAGTTAAAAGGATTCCAAATACTCATAGATTTGAATAGTAATAGTAACAAAAATTAACTTTTTGTCCTTCTAAAAAGTTCAAATGAAGACATTTACTGTATGTTGGATTTCACTACAGGGTTTGAGTCTATAAATTACAATCTAAGTCTCAAAAAAAAAATCAAAAGAATTTGGATTACAGCATGTAAATCAAGAACTTTATTGATGGATAATAATTACAGAATTATCAAATTGTAGAACTGTGTTTATCTTTTCATAGGCATTGGTGAGTCAAATTTATTTTTCATGACTGTTTTGTTACTGGTTGCAGGGATTTGCTATATTTTTATACCAGGTCTAACCCTTTTGATACGAGGAATTGCATTAAACTAACACAGAGCAGAATACACAGCATTTGCCAGCACCGTCAAGATATTTTCAGCGTTTTCATTTCCTTCTTTATGCTATTTAGTGTGTCTATATAGTAATGTAGTTTTGTATTCTCCCCACCCTTAATATAGTATTTGATTTTTTTAGACTGAAAGCAGACTTTTCAAAGAAAGAAGACCCTGTTTTCCTGTCTGTGTGAACAGTTGAGCAAATTATCCTTGATATAAAAAATATCAAATATCAATAAAATATCAGAAATAACAACCCTAAAAGTTAAAAAAAATCTGAGTAATCTGTTTTAAAATATGTAACTATTCACTCTTGTTACAGATGAATGACATTATAGTGACAGTTAGAGATTCAAACTTGAAGCTGACACTTGCTTTTGGAATAGGCATGCACCACGCAGGTCTGCATGAGAGAGACAGGAAAACTGTGGAAGAATTGTTTGTGAACTGCAAAATCCAGGTACATTTGTTCTTTGAATCCTGCCATAATGTGTTTTACATGGAATTTTAAAAGTTGGCTTTTTGTTGCACGTACCTCATTAATCTTTCTTTCTGTTTTAGGTTCTTATTGCCACAAGCACATTAGCTTGGGGTGTAAATTTTCCAGCTCATTTAGTAATTGTTAAAGGAACAGAATACTATGATGGAAAAACAAGGCGTTATGTGGATTATCCCATTACAGGTACTCACATAAATTATGGAAATACTCATATGCTGAAATATATTTCAAACATATATACAAATGATCTGAATTATTTTGCAACTAACCAATGAGAATACCTAAATTAGGCAGAAGCTAGGATTGCTGAGAAGGGTTTCTTTGTTTAATGCAAGTTGTAAGAGAACTCTTAAGATTTTATGTGATTAAAAAATATTTCAGTTTTGTAAAATTTTTTTCTAAGTTCCTTTAATGCACTTTGCCCAAAATAGACACTAGGCAATTAAAGGTACAATATGAAGTCATTTATCTTCCTAGGAATTTGGACAAAAGGAATCTTTCACACTGTTTTTTGAAACCTATTTTTAAATAGAAACAGATTTTAATGGTTTGAAGTGTAAAAGTTGTATCACACATATAGGAGAGCATAAAATGTATATGTCGTCACTTGACAGTAAAAAAAAAACTCTAACCAGTATAGTATATTTAGTGATATAATAGATACTTCAAATAAGTGATATTTCAAAAATAATCAGCTTAATAAAATATTTGAATTTCTGGTTTGATACAGACTTTTATTGCTTCCTACCTCCAGTAATTTCTACTTTGCTTAAACTGCTCTGTAGTTCTTCCAATGAGCTTAAGAACGTGAACCATGGAAGAACTTCTTTCAAAGCTTAGGCAGGGAGAATATCTGTCTGGATGGGTACTAAGCTTGAAGAATGAAGACAAGCTAAATTTATTCCAGGTTTCCTGTTCTGTTTTCTCTTTCTATTTTCACAAGAGGAAGTTTATTATTAAATGATCCTGCAGTATGCCAGAGATGTATACATCTAAGGACAAATAAATGTTATTTGTAATGTAAATAGAGATCTTGCATCCTTTAAGCTATTCACTGTCTTTTTATAGCAAGAGAAACTTACTAATGAGAAAAGCTCAAACTGAAAATAATACAGGAGTTATTTCTCCAAGTAACCCTCATGGAGGTTAATTTAGTGGTTAGTGCTCTGCTGGAAACTTGGGATCAATTTCCAGACCAGCTCTCTTGTTCAAAGATTCTGGTATGACCCGGGAGCTTTGCCATACACACTTGCATTTTGTGACAGACTGGCTGGTATAAACCTAGTATAAACAGTCTCTGCAGAGAAGTAGCGTTTTGCTCGTCCCAACTGGAAGAACAGTAACAACTGACTTTATTAGTGAATGGGGAAGAGTGATGAGGAAAAAAAAAAACAACAGATATTTTAGATTTTATGTTGAATCTGTGGGACTGTCAGAGAGAAGTAATAGGGTAAATAATATATTCAAAAGAAACCAGAAATTCAATAAACATTGAGGCCTTACTATGCTATTTTAGAAATCCATCGTGCAAGTACTCACAAAGGCATTAGGAGAGGCTTATACTCTTTATTGCCTTTTTGAATTCAGGTGTCTTGGATATTAGGGGTTGTTTGGTTCTTGGATTTTAAATAAGGCTTCCTAGGGGTGTGAACAGAGGTGAATACTACCATCTATAATTTAGGTTTCGTTCTCTGCACTGCAACAGAAAATGCAGATTCCCTATTTTATCAAGAAATGTAGTATGGTTTGTTTAGAATATTTTTAACTTTCTAGAGAATATTCATGCTTCTGGAAGTTCTGTGGATAAGTAATACAATTCTTCAGCAGCAATTAAGTGAAAATTTAATGTGTTTCTTTTGGAAATATTTCCAAAATTTCACAATATTGTTTTTAATGCTGCCTTCACTATTCCGCCATGGTATAACTTGCTTTTTCTCTGCAGAAGTTACTTTTGTGTGCCAGGGATGCATTTGGCTCCAAGTAAGCAGCTGAGGGCAGAATGAATCATTGTGGAGCATTCAGTGATTCTGAAATAAGTAAAAATGCTTCTTTCAGTGAAATCGGGGGTTCTGGGGAGGTCCTTCTCTCAGTGACCAGACATTTACTCATCCGGTTGGATCACATTTAACATATCAGGAGTTTAGTTAAGTGATTAAAAGCAGCCAAAAAGCATATAGTCAGTAGAGAAAATACTGGTTTTGTATAATTATTTAGCAGAATATTTAGCAAAAAAATCATATCCATAGTAAATCCATTTCCTATATGGTATTACGTACTATTTAAATCACCATATTAGAATAGCAAGGTAATGTTTCATCACCCCCCTGTATACACACCTATCATTTGCAAACTAATTTCATTTTACATTTCATGTCACTTAGCAAATTAGCAAAGTGAATAAACTGAAAAAAAACAGTGGTATTTATGTAGCTCATCTGCACATGTGTGTTACTGAAAACTTCTTTTTATTGTCACTGGACTGTTTCTCTTATCATTGTCCATTGCTGTATCTCGTTCTAAGCCTTCTGTCTTGTCCTTCCTTAACGATAATACCCTGCTGACCATTGGGCCAAAAAGCTTACTTTGCTTCTGAGGCCAAAGAAACCATTTTTCAAAGTGCTAGGTACTGCAAGCCACATACTCTGTAGGTATGATAGAACTCAGAATACACAAAACATAAAAAAAAATAAAAATAAATATTTAAAACTTTTTGAACTAATATCATTTGTTTCTTCAAACTTAAATAGATGCTGGAGGGACAAAGAACAACCAATACTGATGCACTTCTCAGATTATGAGAAGACAGATGATAAGTGTACATATCTTGGTTGTCAGGTAGCAAGTTGAGCGTGTTCTGTACAGACTTGTATTTTCAGTGTTTCTAGAAATCACTGACTAACTTGTATTTGCAAGTAATAATGTATAGGTATAGTAGATGTGAGCTTTATCTGCTTTTAAATTTGTATATCATGATCTCATATAGGGAAAACATATGATATGAAACCTTCTCTACTCCAGTGCTAGTAGCAAATACCACTTGGCTTGAAGTTTGAGTGGCCAAAATCATAGCTCTTAGTAATCATAATTACTTTTACCTTTTTTTCCCCTATAAATTACTAAAAACCTAGGAAATTATTTATAGGAGAGTCTTATGCAAGGAAGACCTATTATTGTGAAGTCAAGTACTTGAAGATTAGGAAGTGATATACAGTTACCACTGTAGGCTTCGTGAGTTCTTTTGCTCACTATCATCTTTAATTTAATGATAACAAACAAGAGATGCATGTGGAATGGAGGGAGAGAAGGGAAAATTTATATATTTATATTAGGTGTAGGCTTGGTTACTATTGCAGTGGGTGGTCTTCAAGTATGCAGATGATATTCTCCGCCACAAAGAAGTTCATCATAAATTTTCCTGAGATAGGAAAAAAAAAAAAAGTCAAAAATCAATAGGGCATATGAGGCCAAAGAAATATTAAAAAAAAAAAAAAGTGTTATGGGTTATATAGAAATGCATTTAAAATATATATAAATATATTTATTTATTTTATGCGTTATTGTCTCTTTGGCAGATGTACTTCAGATGATGGGACGTGCAGGCAGACCACAGTTTGATGACCAAGGCAAAGCTGTAATTCTAGTTCATGATATCAAGAAAGACTTCTACAAAAAATTCCTTTATGAACCTTTCCCAGTGGAATCCAGGTAAAGTAAAAGCAATCAGAAAAGCTAATCAAACTATCAACAGTACTACAAATGAGGGATACAGAAAAGTGAAACAAAATTCCTGTGTGGAGTATATCCTAAATATTGAGGACCTAGAGGATACTATTTTTTTTTAAAAGTTGTCTATCTTTTTCTGTCAGAAAAATTCTTTCTTCCGTGAGTCTTGAAGCACCGTTGAGCTCTTTAGTCCATTGCCAAATAATTTTACAAATGCTTTTCTGTTTTTGATTGTATCAGACACTGGAATGAGAGCACAAACTGTTCTTCTAGGCAAGTGTGTAGGACGACTGCATGTGATACTCACAACCCTCTCTGAAACTCTGTGACAAATTACTAATAGGGAAAAAAGGAGAGTTTCTAGTACTTTTTAGCTAGAAAACTTGAACTATTATGAATATTTCACATTCTTTAAAATCTCCCTAGTTCAAAAAGAAATCTGCCTGGTATAAGTGATTACTAATACACATTCTTTCACTTCAAAACTGCAAGATTGTTGTCAGAAAAAATAGAAACACCATCTTTTTGCACTCTCTCTGAACTAAGTTGATACAGAGCTTTCTGTCCAGCATAATATAACTTGTGCCTTGTTTTTGATATTTATAATAGTTGTTCAACAAGAAGCAAAACAAATTACATCAGTCTACTATATATGCATGGAGGAATTCTCAGATACCTAATAAAGCATAAGCATTAATGAAAGCTTTTCTCAGTAACGAAGAATTCACAGTATTGTTCTCCTATGGAAACTTCATCCCTCTACATGAGCACTAATTGGACCTCTGAGCGGTCAGGAAATTTACAGGAACTTGAGAGTGCTAACCACCTGTGAAAAGTAGTTGAAATGGACTGGTGTATTTCAGAAGGTTAATTTCAGTGCTGCATAGGCAGACTAATACATTTTATTTTTATTTTTTTTTTATAAACAAAGACTGTGGCAACATGTATTTCATTTCCTTAGTAAGCCATGCTTCTTTTTTTTTTTTTTAAAAAAAAAAAAGGCATATAATTGCACTTAGTACAAAAGGCTAAGGAGTTGAACATCTTCAAAATGGTAGCTAGTAAGTCAAAAGGGTGGCATGATTAAAATGCTGGTGATATATCTAGACTGATAGTGTTGTCCATAGATTCGTGCCTGGTGCACCGCACCAATAATGAGACATGAATTAGGAAATCCATTGTTTCTAGATAAAGAGATTATGTCTTCAATATCACAGTACTAATCACAACTTCTTCCCATTTTTAATACTATAAATATTGCATGTTTCTAGTAACTCATTTTGTGTATATATTTATTTATATCAACAGTTTGATATATTTCATCTTTCACTATAAACAAAAAATATTTGATGAACTTTCAGATGAAGATTCACATGTTAATGGTGATCTCGATAAGTTCTTTGTAGGTTGTGATCTGATTAATTTAGAGTTGTTGTGGTCTTTTATGATCAAAGATATTTGAAGTAAGAGCCTTCATAGCTTCAAAGAGAAATTTGGGTTCTTTTGTAGGAATTTTATTTTTAGAATGCTTTCTCATCTTGTTCTACCAAAGAGCAGATTTATCAGCTTTGTGTAGTACTTCCAATTTTTAAAATTAAACTTCAGATTTTTTTAATTACAGATTTTTCTAAAAAAGGATCATCTATGCATTAGACATGAGTACACAACTCAAATGACAGACAGACCTTGTGCTCTCACTGATCATGGGTCTGAAAGATGGCACATTAGAAGCAAAAGAGAAAGTGATTTTTGTTATGGAATAATAAATAATAATAATTCAGTAATAGCTATTGAATAATCCATCCAATAATCCAGTTGGACAGTCTGGGTAGAACAGATGCTGCTTTGCCTTCAGAACTCTGCAACCAGTAGTACAGAGCAGTAGAACAATTACTCATACCAAATTGTTTGCTTTTATCAATAAGGAAAAAATAGGAAAAGTAAAAGGATTGTAATACAGGAAAAAAATAGGCTAATCTTTAAGAATATTTGCCATTCCCTGACTGAACTGCAGCTAGGCATAATGCCATTAGGTAGCCAAGTGGAGGTCTTTGTTCCATTAGTGAAACTAAACAGTATTTTAGTCTGTAAAAATCATTTTACACTGCTTTTGTTCTTCTGTGTTTCAGAGTTTAAACCTTTCTCGGTAAAAGTAGCTTTTTTTTTTTTTCCTCCCTATATTGGATGAAGATGAGGAAAAATCTGGGGGAAGCAGGTTTGATGTAATTTTAATAGCCCCTCAAGTATTTGTCAAGTATTAGCTAAGCTATTGCCACTGTTTCATTTCCTGTTTGTCTTTCCATATGATTCTCTATTGGATTAAACCAGCATGATCATATGGTCAACATACAGTATTCAGAAGTTACCACTTAGTAGCTCCATCTGAATACATTCCATAAATGACTTAAATGTGTACATTCTTGGTCCAATCAAAAAATAATTTGAGCTTCATACCAATACCATGTAAAGAAGATGACTGACCTTGCAATTACATCCCCTCTTCTTCCCCTCTTCTCTTTTACCGGAAAATAAATATATAATGTTTTCAGATTAAAAGTAATAAACCTTTTAATGCACAATTCTACAAAATATATTACCTGTCTTTGTGATTGTAAAGTCAGCAAAGTCCTCTTGTTTCCTGTTCTTCAGCTTGTTAGATGTGCTAGCCGACCACTTGAATGCTGAAATTGCTGCTGGAACCATTACTTCTAAGCAGGATGCAATGGATTATATCACCTGGACTTACTTCTTCCGTCGACTTATAATGAACCCAACGTGAGTATAAAATAAAAAAGCAATTTAACCTAAAGGTAGCTTGAGGGTAGAGTTGATCCAAAGGTGATCCTGCTGCTGTTGGAGCCTACAATACTTAGCAGTCTCCACTGTAGGAGTATTACTGGCCCACACATGGAATAAAATTTATGTGCACATTTTTTTAATAATTTTTCTCTAAAAATAAATGGATTTCTTGGCAGATAACTTACGTTACAATTTAGTAACAACTATAAAATAGCATTATTGAGAAGGGTACATCAGCATCCCTAAAATAAAACTCCAGATTATCACATTCCTTTAGTTATTGTATTTATAATGTGTTACTTTTTTTTAGCTACCACATTGATATGTTATGCCCAGTCTTCTATAGAAAATCTATGAAGATTTGAATTTTCCTAATAAATAAGAGAATAGCTATCAGCTGTTTCTCTATGATAAAGTTTACTTTCATTAGGGAATCCTGGTGAAACCATGTGTGCAATATTTTCAATGATTGTTATCATCCTGCCTAGCTCCAGCTGGTATGCAGACCATACTGAGCCGTTCCAGCAAGTTAGCCTGCCTTTGCCACAATGCTGTTTTGCACAAATGGTATTTTGTGTGTCATGTGATCATTCACCCACCAAAATAATGTGGTAAATAAAGAATTAGGCATTTGTAGCACTAAATATTTCTTGATGTACTGCAGCGTGTCATATTGCTTCAGTCATTTTAATGTCCATAACATTTTGGTGAATTTTCAGCTGAGTTCCTTATAGGCAACTGCTGCTGGAGCCTGCAGGTGATAAAAGGCAAAACAATGATTTCCTTTAATTCTTTTTGAATCTTCATTAGTTTTCAATTCTGCATCTAGCCCTGTGCTGAGAATCTCCCACAGAACAAAATTTCCATCTAATCTTCTTGGGAAATCAAAAATGCACAGTGTTAGAACTGTAAATTAAAAAAAAAATGTATTCAATTCTCTCACTTTATAACTAACAAAATGAATAAATGTATGTGGTAGATGGTTCTGCCCTGAGAGTGACAAACAGCTAAATTCTGTTTTCATCTAGGTTAGATGAAGGTGAAGCTGTGTTTGAGATTTACACATGATCCAAACTACAACCAATGTTAAAAACTGTGCCATTGCAGTCACTATTAGTTTTCAGTATAAAGAATGAGTGATATTATTTTAAAATGTCTTGCTATTCAATTGCTATGGTAAAGTGGCTGTTGATTTGTCTTCAGCAAGCCTTGATTGCATGGTATCTGGTAGACAGACAAAAACATGTAGCCTGTAGCTATATGTGGAATACAGAAATATAGTCACCCAATTTAAGGGGCAAGGTCTCCCCAGGGTACAAGAAGGTTCATACTGGAGTGTGTTTGGCATGTTTACTGGCAGTCCTTTTTTCTCATCAGTTTCTTTAATGTGCAGTTTCATAGAAAGCTAAATGTGAAGTTATCACAATATCAGTTTCTAAGCAAAAGTTCTTATATTCTGAGAGGATTCTGAGAAGAAAGCTAAGAAAAAAACATGGCATTTTATAGTGTGAAGCAGGGCCATTGTAGTGGCAGACAATGTGAATAGCTTTTGACTAGTCGTGTCCATAATGTCAGGACAGGAACGCAAATCAAAGTTTCTAATGAAATCATAGTCGTTTATTGGAACATACAGGTTGGAACAGTTCACAAGTTCTGCTGCTTTCCCCAGTGTCTCATCCACACAAAGGTACTCAGCATTCCTTGTGTACTCAGTCATGCAGAGAGAAAAATGAAGGACATTATTGACTCTGTCAGAAAGGTCATTTCTAGATACTAAGTGCAAATGCAGTGGATGTGCACACTTTTCCTCTTTGACATGATAATTTCTACTAAGTTTCATCCAAAATTACTAAACTTAATAGTTTAGTAACATTCCTGGATATGCATACTATCAGTGGTATTTGAAATGAATCAGTGTTTGAATGAGATACATCAAAGGAACACTGAATACTTTTATTAAGAGAAGTCGGTGGTGGTTGAGATCACTTTGAGTAAATTGCAATATAGTAGTACCGTTTATTGTGCCATAAATGAGCATATGAAATGCTTGATATTACTAGACAATAATTATTTATGGCCCTTAATAATTCAAAGGTTTAGGGGGTTATTTTTTCACAAGAGCAGGAGTGCAATGGCTGAGTTTTGTTTTGGGTACTTGCACAGTACTCACCCAGTGTCACTTGATACAGTGTTCTTTATCATGTCCTGCCACAAAGCAATTTTCTTGACATTCTGTCCACTATGAAACAACAGCTATTTTCTACCCAGCAGGTGACTGTACCTAAGTGGTGAATAAGTACTTCCCATATGCATGTTTGGTAAATTGCCTTGGGATTCTTTGGCATGAAAGGCATTGCATGTGATGCTGTAAATCCCAAAAATAATGGACTTAGATAATATGCAGAAGATTTATATTCTCATTTATTGCCAGTTTTAGCTACTTGTATATTAAAGCTGCATAAACAAATCTAGGATCATTCTATTCCAGACTAGTACCATAAAATACCTTACTGAATCCTGCAATTTATACTATTTGAGTATTAATCTACCTGAATAGTGAGATGAAGTATCCTTTGGCTTTAAGTAGTCAGGTTTCTTCTAAACATGCTGTCATTAAGACTTTTTCTGGGACATAAGTTAATTCATTAGACTGATAATACTGGCTTTTAAAATGGTGTTGTTGAAAATATTTGCTTGCTATAATGTTTTCATTTTTTGTTTTTTGTTTTTTTCCATCAAGCTATTTTAATTTTCCTATCTGATGAAGTTTTGTACCCTGCAATCTGTTAAATGGGTTTTAACTTTATAGTTAAGAGTAGTAGTTGAGGTTGGATTGCTGAGTGCCACTTTCGTTTAGTGGCATACTGAATAGCCATGTGCATGCAGTTCAAGAGATAATGTGCAAGGGAAATAAATAAAAAGTATTATTTTATAATAAATAATATTAATCTAAATAAAACTGTTTACCAAGTCATATCAGTCTCAATATCCGTAGTTTTTCCCCTTCCCCAAAGCAATTATTCCTAAATGTAGAGATTTTTGAATTTGCACTTGAAGTCAAAGTTTCTGTACTACTTTAGTCAAGTGCTACAATGTGTTCTTTTCTCCACATACAACTTTAGCCTTTATTTTCCCTACTTAGTCAAGATCATGTTTAAAGACAGATCAGCTAAGTGCCCTTTTCTTTGAAAGGGGCTATTTTGAGAGGCTCGTCTGTCATAGCTAGCTGACTGAAGACTTAGGCAGATCTCCTTTCCTTGGCCGGAATGCTTTGACTGTTTAATTCTTTTACCCTTATAAAAGATTACAATCTGCAACTTTCTACAAGAGAGAAATTGCTATGGGAAACGTTTTCTGTAAATCAGGTTATGATATTTTCCAGATACATATGCAGTAAAAGAGAAATAGAGATTGACAACATATGTAAGGCTAAGCAGAATCAGCTTTCATTTGAAATGTTAATTTTTAGATGTTCTGAGAATACACATCACATCACAGTTAAAATGTGTGGTTTTTTTATGTATTTGTAAATATTCGCATATACATCTGCACTTGTAAAATCAGTTTTCCATGTGAATTGCTTGTGAAGACATGAAAAAAGCTTTATTAATTCTGAGAATTATTATTAATTTTTTCACTTTATCTTGGTCTTTTATTAATGAAGTGAAAGAATGATATAGCATAAATTATAATTAAATGACATTTTCTCTGACTGATACTCTTATCATTAATCATATACTTATATTTTACCTTAAATTTCCTTTTCTTGGTATAATTAGCTGAGCTTGTCTAATAGTATGAATAAGACAGCAGAATAAAAATTATGATAATCACTGCACCATAATATTTTCTGAATACAGCAGAATAAAAGTGATGATAACCACTGTACCATAATAGTTTCTGAAATCGAAGTGACTGCTAGAATCAGCCAGTCAAGGTAGAATAATATGTATAATAACAAAATCACATGACTTTTCGGGCTAGTTTGAAATTATGTCAGAAAGGGGATTAGTGAAGAAAGTTAAATTAACTGAGAAGAGATAAGGAGCAAAAGTAAGTTTATCAATAGCTACTAAGAACGGAAGATAAGAAGGTATTACACTGTATTACAGTGCAGTAGTCACCAGTATCCGTATCTGGAGTTGATAAACTGATATTTTTCAGGGTGGATTCTGTCCTTCACAGTAACACTTACTCTGTCATGTATACATGTATATACTTCCCTTTATAACAAAAACTTGTTCTTTATATAATTAGGGTCACAGTGATGTGAAAACTACACAAATGTAGTTCATGCTGTACTTTTACCAAACTAATCATAGGAACAAAGTTCTACTGATTCTTCCAGACTAGGAAGCTGCACACTGCTGGGTATTTGAGCCACCTGCTATTGCCCAGTCTGCTGTGGTCTTCTGGTGCAACGCAAGGCTCAAGACCCTTCATCTCCCCATGCAGAAAGCTAATTCATGTAATTGTCTTCCTACTCTTGGATACTATTTTACTGGGCAAATTATCTGTTGGGATGTAACCTAAAAAAAAATGCTCAATCAATATGTAAACAATTTTAAATGTCCCTGTTACCTCTGGTTTCATCTTATAAATGCATCTTAAAAGGTAATCTTTCCTGGAAATATTTTAATTAGAAGCACTGACATGGTAGCAAATAGCTTCCTGATACCAGAGTTAATCACGAGGAAATACTAAAAACTGATTAAAGATATCAGGGCATCTGTCAAAATATTCCTCGTACCTGGCATGACCAAATATATGAATGCAAGAAAATAATGTGTACAGGTGAAATACAGGTAGAGATTACTGGCTGTAGTATTTGTGCATGCTTTAGTGCATTTTAGCCAGCCAGTCCCAGACTGCGGAGTCAGTGATGCCTTATCAACAGAAGTTAGTCGGTACATTGTCACATGGCTCTGCCTT